TTTCCTCGCTGCTGGACATTTAAATTATTGCTCCAAATTTGTGGGGTTTTTAAAGATTTTAAGTCACTTCTACACCCAACACGGGGCTTGAACTCACAGCCCCGAGATCAAGAGTCGCACGCTCCACCGACAGAGCCAGCCAGGTGCCCCTGGCTCGAATTTGCTGACACTACAAAAAAGGCATCAATGACCAAGATGTTCACAAACCTGTTTCTAAGTTAAGATTCTTTTCCTAAGACAGATGCCCAGCATGAAACGACCAGGTCATTACAAGCCACGCGGCAGAAACCGGGACTCCCAGGTGGGCCGACCTCCTCAGCTTCCAGAACAGGAACTCGTCCGGGGCGGCGGTGGCCAGAACACACCTGGCTTCTGTCTCGCTCTCCTGCTGTGCACGGTGGCGCAGGCACAACCCCCCGGAGTGCCCAAGGGCACGCACACTGCCTCTCTTCCCTTCCTTCCTCCAACAAGTCCTTATTGAACTCTGGGATCCAGAAGTGAGGCGGGCCAAAATCTCCACCGCCCTCACAGAGCATCTGGTCCAGCTCGGGAGACAGACAGTGAACAAGCAAATCGTGAAAATACACAGGGTGAAGTGGTGATGAACGAAAAGGATGGGGAATCTGGGAGAGGGGGTACAATTTGAAATAGGTCCTCTGGGAAGGACTTGTTGGTGACATTTGAGAAAAACTGGAGGAAGGGGAGGGAGAAAACCATGGGAGGAAGAAAACGGATTCTTTCACCCGGCCAGATCTGAGGAAAGATCTTCTCAGGCAGAGGCCACAGCCTGTGCAAAGGCCCCGTGGCCAGAGGAAGACCACTGTGCTGCAGGAACAGTGAGGAGGCTGGTGGGCTAAAGCCCGGGGAGCAAGTGGGAGGATAGCAGGGGAGGAGCCAGATAGACAACAGGGCTGGGCGCATTTGGGGAGCTATGGGGGAGGCTGGGGTTTGATGGGGAGCTATGAGGGAGGTGGGGAACACGGGAGGCTCCTGACCAAATTGGTATTTTAAAATAATCTCTCTGGCTGCTGAGTTGGGATTCAGTGGGAGGAGGGCAGTGGGGAGAGGTGGGATTCCGGGCACATTCTGCAGGTGGGGACAATTTACTGATGAACAGGATACAAGCGAGAGACAGAAGGGTCGAGGCTGACTCCAAGGTTGGGGGTCCGGGCAATGGAAGTTATTGATAAGACTGGCATGGCCTGGGGCGGAAGGGCTGGGGCGGAGCGGGGGGCCAATGGGGGAGGCAGGGTCTCCCCTCTCCTCAGTGCTATCTCTCACTGGCAGGTGAGGACAGCGGGGCTCAGAGAAGTCACATGACCTGCTGCCGGCCACCCGAGTCTGCCCCTCGCTGCAGTGCGCAACAGACACTCCAACACAGCCCTGCTGTCCCGACCCTCTCGCCGTGCACACAGCCAGGTGCCGGCTGCCCCTCCCCAGCAGGGTCCCTCTGAGAACAGGGCTCCAGAAACCCTGGCCCGGACTCCACACACGGACGCGCCCAGCAGTTACGGACTCATACTTGATTCCAATGAAAACAGCCTGAAACGTTGGTCGTTTTTGCTGCTACAGAGAGCCTTATGGGAAATTCAGAGATCATTACTGTTTGGCTTTAGGATACATAATATGATGCCATTTGCTGAAAATCTGCAAATAACCCCTAATTAGGTTTTCCGAGGCTAAAAAAGCAAATTCGCTTTCCCCGAGGACATACCAACCATGGGCAGGAGGCAACAGTCCAGAAGCTTCCAGCAAGGCAGGGGGGAGGACTGTGGGGGTTATTTAGGCCACGGATCATTTCGCAGTGAGGAATCCAAGTGCAGGTGAACAGAGTTTGCTGGAAACACAGCAGCACGCACGTCTGCAGGACTCCCACCTGCCTAGCCCGGGTAGGTCATTCCGGGGGGTTAAGATGGGGCAGGGGCTGGAGTGTCTGCACACAGGTGAGGTGTGAGCGAGCAGCACCGCCCCAGCATGCCCTGGACACACCCACCATTTCTCTCCCTGAAACCAGAAGCAACAATGTCCCTGAAATTTATGGCTTTGCCTATGGGGTTTGATGGGCTCTGCTGGTCTTGATGGATTGTTGCTATTTCCCGGGATGGAGCTAGGAGGTGGCACGGACTCCCCTCCGAAGGAGATGAAGGGCAGGGCAGGGCAGGGGAGGGAGGGAGAGGCCAGGACTGGAAGAAACCAGAGAGGCAGTTGAACGAGCTAACGGTAGCTCCCCCCACCCAAAAAGGCAGGCCACCTGACCCTCAGCTCTGCCGCCCACAACAGGATGCTCCGTGGAGGGAGAGTGGGCCAGTGTTCTGCCCTCACCCTGGTGAGCAGCCCTGTGGTTAGAGGCTGGGTCAGCAGCCCAGAGAGGTGGCAGCACGCTGGGGGCAGGCAGGAGAGGAGAGGGCAAAGGATGCTATGAGGGTGAGGGGCTGGATTAGAGGGACACAGACAGCAGAGAGGAAGATGGACTCTGCACACAGAGGAGAAAATGACCTCATGCCCCAGAGGGAACCCCAGGGGAGCCCAATCCTTCTACCTCCCTCTCCCCATTTCTGCCACCAGCCCCCCTGCTTCCCTTCTTCACACAGCATTTGGAGCTATCTTTTTAAAAAAGAAGCCAGATCCTATCACTCCCTGGTTGTAAGCCCTCTGGCAAACTCCCACACCTCTCAGAATAGTGTCCCAAGTACTCGCCACTGCTGACAAAGCCTATATCACCTGCCCGGTTGGCCTCTCCTGTCCCTCACCCCACTCTGCCATGTTGGCTTTCACAGTGGCTCTTTTCCTCCAACACACCAAGCTTACTCCTACCCCAGGGCCTTTGCACTTGTTGCTCGCTCTACTTCAAATTCTCTACTCCCAGCTCCTTGTGTGGCTGGCTCCCTCCCATTATTCAGAATGGAGCTTAAATATCACCAGCTCAGAAAGGGCTTCCTAGACCGCCCTGTGTGACTAGGTCCTTCCTCGGCACCTGCCCCTAACCCTCCAGAGCAGGCCTCAGTATCTGACCTTGTTTCACTTATTTCTGTTTGTCGGTTACTGCCCGTCTTCTCCACAGGAGTGAGGACAAGGCTCATTGCTGGGCCCCCAATACCACTGGCCATGCCTGGCACTAAGTAGGCCCAAGACGTATTTCATGAGCGGATCGGTTTAGTTTGCTCTGTCAGATACTCATCCTGGGATGGTGAGAGAGCATCCACCCAGCGCACGGCCACGCAACCCACTCAGGAGCCAAGCACGGGGAGAGGCTCTTAACACTATTATCACGTGTCATCCCAGGCTCCACGACCACCATTTCAGTGCCTCCATTTTCCAATCCAAGAAAACCAAGGCAAGGAGCTAATGAAGGGTATTTTCCCCCTGAGCTGTGAATTCATTGATCTGAGAAGTCTTGCGAAGGAATAAAAACTAACCCACACACAGCCACGTGTTTAGTGAATGGCTACCAAGAGCGCAGTGGTTAGAAACATGGGCTCTGGAGTTGGCCGGCCTAGGTGCAGAGCCAGGCCCAGCCCCTTAGCAGCTGCGCAACTTTGGGTGAGTTCCTGAACTTCTCTGGGCCTCAGTTCCCTCCTCGATGTGGCAGAGATGGAAGCACCCATAAAGCGGGGGTGGGACTGACAACACCATTGAGGTAACAGAGTAAGGATGATGCCGGGCCCTTGGTGAGCTTCTGGGAAGTGCCACCTAGTATGACGGTAGTCACGCTGACATCCGGTGACCCGACTGGGCCTCCAGGACATTCGATCAGGAGGGCCAGTGTGAGATGGGTGCCACGGCCAGCAGCCCAGCCTAGACAGGCTCCGGGGCAAAGGACCACCCCCCGCCAGTCCAAAGGAGGGGTCCGTCACACACACCCCCTTCCTCAGGCCAGCAGGGTCCCACCATGACCAGGACTGGCCACCAACACTTTAAACTTGACTCTGCCAAACTCCAAACAGGAAATGCCTGGAGCCTTGGCTTTTCCATCACACATATTGGCTGAGCTACAGCTTTCCTACAAATTGTCTAGAAGTGTGGATTTCAACTATATTTTTCAGTAGAACACTTTTAGCAAGTCACACCGGCCAAGGTATAGCTTTTCCTAAATCGTGTAAAGTGTGGGTTTCAAAGTTACTTTTTAGCAGTTAGAACACATGGAATAAATCCACCTCACAAAGATCCCCAATACTGAAAAGAGGTCATGTGGAGCTCATCTCCCTGGGGTGGGTGGGCGGCAAGCCCCTCCCTCCACAGCCGAGCCTAGGGCCAAGACTCCCCATTGGGATGGCCCTGACTTCACACGTCCTCCTTCTCCGGGGTTCCAGATCACTCACACACCTAAGACACATGATTTGGTTTCACACCATGGACTCCAGGGGCCACTCTCGGAGATCTTTGGACATTCAAGACTCGGTAGGGGAATATTTAGAATGAATAAACCAAGAAATTCTTTTTGGCAAAAATGGCCCAAGCCCATCGGTAGCGGACAGACAACCGCTGGGCCATCCCATCCATATGCACATCCCACACGTGACTGTCAAAGTGGACAGAGCTTAAAACTGTCGTGTCGAGTGGCAAACGCAGGTGCAGGAAATGCACTGTGGGATACCACTCACATACGGCCCATAAACACCCCACACTGTGTGTTTATGGTGTGTGTGTATGCCAACGGTTACTGCAGACTGGAAGAATGGACACCTAACTCCGGAAGGCACTTATCTCCACGGGGAAGCAGGGAAAGGGCCCTCCAGCTTTTGTCTGTGATTTTTATTAAAGAGGAAAAAAGGACGTCGGGCCACCAACATGACAAAATGTTAACAGCTGTTAAGTATGGCGGTGGAAACGTGCTCTGGTTGTATTACTGTGTGGCTTCTGTACTCTTAAAAGTGTTTGCCGGGTTAGCAAAAAGGGGGCTGACCAATAGTGCCCCCCCAGCTCTGGAGTGCATTTCGAGGCTGCCCAGCACACGGCGTGGTGCCCCCCCGAGCCCCCCTCGCCCTCCCTGTACCCCTTACCTGTCCACAGCAAAGTGCTGGTCCCCAGCAGCCCGGTGCAGCTCACTGCCATTCTCCAGTCGGGCCAGAGTGTCCATGCGCTTCACCATCAGCTCCAGCAGATCACTCATCTTGCGCAGGACGCCGCGGGACTCCGGCCCTCCCAGCACTGCAGGCAGAGTGTGGCCACAGTCAGCCTCGGCCGCAGCCACTGGTGGCTCTCAGACTCTAGCCCCACTCCCACTTTCCCAGGCAAAGGAGGGGTCGGGAGAATGAGCCCACCCCACCCCTCACCCCTGCAGGACAGGGAATCCCCCACTTTGCTGTGTTGGGGTACAGAGCCCTGGGCCAACCCTGCTCCCTACCGGCTGGGTGACACTGAGATCATCTTAACGTCTCTGGGCCTCTGTTTCGTCGCCTGCAAAATGGAGCTTTAGACCTGATCTCAAGTCTGTGAGAAGACAGGGAAGGGCGGGGCTGGGGGGTAGGAACCCCAGGGCCCCCAGCACCGGGGTCCAGACAGGACTTCTGGATCAGGGCTTCCAAAAGTGCACTCACCCAACCACTCTGCACCTGAGTCTCCTGGCCAGGCTGTTAAAATCCAGATTCTCAGGCCCTAGTCTCGATCTGCCGATTCCCATCTCTAGGGCCCGGGGCCCAGGACCCTGCACTCTGCTTGGCCCCCACGTGGTGTGCATGCACAGAAGAGGCTGTGAGCCCATGTTCAAGGGGCTCAGGGCCCTGTTATTCTCCTGCCAGCCTCTGGGCCCACCAGACCCCTTCCCCACTCCACTCTCCCAGACCCCCCCAGTAGAAAACCATTGTGAATTTGTCCAGACTCTCAGCTGGCCTTCGGGTTCCCAAAGATCAACTCCTGGGCTGAGGGGCAAGGGAGACCTTGTGAAGAATAAAATTAAATGAAAACAAGGGGCTTCAACCAAGATCCCGTTAACCAGCCGAGATCCCCCATGATTTCCTTTCTAGTCATTCCTGATCATTGGGGCCACACACGCCAGGGTGGGAGAGTGGTCCCTGCCTTTCTTTTCAATCAAATCATGTGAAGGGGTTTTTTCTTTTTTTTAAGATTTTATTTATTTATTTTTGCGAGAGAGAGAGAGAGCATGAGCAGGGGGAGGGATAGAGGGAGAAGCAGACTCTCCGCTGAGTAGGGAGCCCCACATGGGGCTCGACCCCAGCACCCTGGGATCATGACCTGAGCTGAAGGCAGATGCTTAACCGAATGAGCCACCCAGGCACCCTCCTGTGAAGGTTTTAACAGTCCCTCCAAACGGTCCACAGATACTCAGGTCCAGGCGCTGCAATCCCCAACTTGGCTCCCTGCATCCCCCAAGGGCCAGCTCTGAACCTCTCACAGCAAATGAACCAAGTCATGGAGACCTGAATGCTTCCAGGGGCTTCCGGGGGCGGGAGGGCCTGAGGTTGGGTTCCCCAGAAGCAAACCCCGAGACAAGGGTTTGAGGGCAAGTCATGAATTTGAGAGGTAAAGGAAGCCCCGGTGAGGGACTGAGGAGGTGACACAGGAGGGGGAGGGGGCCCAAAGAGGGCGAGTCACCAAACTGGGGCAACCAGCAGGTGCTGAGTCTGCCCCAGAGTTCTCCCCCTGGGGGCGAGGGCCATGTGCACACCGTCTCCTGCCGGTCACTGCTTGAGGGTGGCTCCGGACACAGCCAACTCCTGCTGCTTCCCACCTGCCGTGGGGTGGCCAGCCAGCTGCAGTGGCTAAGAAGCCCTCGACAAGGAACCACCATCGCCAGCAGCCGCAAGTTGGCCGTGTGCATGGGAATCGCGGGGGCCAAGGGCTCGGGCACCAGCAGCATATGCTTCTCCAGAAAGAAAGGGCCGGGGCCCAGTGAGCTAAGAGAGGCTCTCGCCTGCCTCTGTCACCCCCCCTCAACGGGACTCTGTGGCCCAGGGACAGTCATGGCAACACTATCAGCCTCTGGGTCCCCAACTCAAGTCAACAATACCAGGTCCTGTCTGCCGACCATTGTCACCATGCCAGCCAGGGGCAGAGGGGAGCATGGCAGGCCACAGGGACCCAGGGGCAGAGGTGGGGAAAAGAGAGGAGCCCGAGGGGCTGGTCTCCCCTGCTCCATGCTTAGCACTGAGCTGAAGAGGGGGGCCAAGACAGGCTTCATGTCACCAAGGCTGCTTGTGACATTTCTGCTTTGCTTGTCTCCCAGACTCCTGGCTCTGGGCCTGAGCTGGCTCAGTGGCTACTGCCACTTTCTCTCATTGACTAAGTCACCTCCTGGCTCGGTTCCCCTGCTGACTGAGTCCACCTGAGGTCAGAAGGGAGGCCATCAGGAGCCGGGGAGGGTTCCCTCACAGGCCATGGAATCCGGAGCTTCGGGGGGAGCTGCAGTTTCCTTACAAAAGCTAGGATCCCTGGCTCCAACACACACACACACACAGTTGTCCAAGAATGAGAAAGGGTGGGGTCAGGTGTTGGTGAAAAATGCACATCTAGAGGAAGGAAGGAAATACCATCTCTACCCCATCTCCACACCAGTAGCTGAAATAACTAGCAGTCTTCCCACTTTCCCTTCTCAGAAAACTGGGTGGATTTTTAACAAACCAGTTGAGATGGGAAAATTTCGCCACTGTGTTAAGTGAACAAGTTTCTCCCACCGTGCTGCCCCACCCCACTCCCTCAGTACTCAACCAGTTAGTCAATCAATCCGAGGAGATATGGATAGCTCCCTCTCTCTTTCAACTCCACAGAGTTGGGGGTGAAGGTTAGTCTTTCAAATCATTCTCATCCCTGAGACCCCCCACCCAAGCCCGTCGTCCATCCAAACGTTAATACCTGGCTTTCAACTAGTGCTTGGAGCACAGAGTAAAGCAAAGGGGGGGGGGGGCGCATCACCTCAGCTGGAAAAATAGAGGAACATCAGATGATCCGACCTGGCCACTACTGGGTACCCCTTCTGGAGTTGTGCAGTGCACAGCCTGCCCAGCCTCCCTGGGAAGCCCTGATGAGCCAATGCTCACAGCTCAGGCTGGGGTGGTCCCTTCCCCAAAGGCATGGCATGAAAAAGGAGAGTGAGACCACAATTGGGGACACCCTAAGTCAGAGCCTGTTAACCAAGGCCCCCCAGCCATGACCTGGCCAGAGTACCCAGGTCCAGCTGGACCACAGAACCTGGGCAGCAGCTCACTCCTGCAGATGTGGCACCCCGGGGATGCTGAGCCCACATCACTGCTTCTAGAGCAGTGCTATGCTGCCCGAGATGTCTCAGGCCTGGCACCCTGCCCTGTCACACTGCTGTCCCTCTGTCTGAGCTCATCTTGAGCTTCCTTGGTTCCTCCTCACTGCCTGAGCCCCTCCCTGGAGCCTCACTGACAACAGCCCCCCCACACACACACTTCCAGCCCCACACACAGGTGGCAAAATAGCTGCTGGGGCCAATGACTGCCCCACCTGGCCGAGAGCTGCAGGACCCCAGAAACCAGGCAAAGCTGGGGCAACACTGTGGCAGGGGACAGGCTGGGGTGGGAGTGACAAAGCCTGCACTCCACCAGCTGTCACCAGCTGCATGGCTGCAGGATGGATGGACATGCCACTTCCCTTCTCTGGGCCTCAGTTTCTCCTCCTACAAAATGAGGGCATTGGATTTACTGAACCCTGAGGTTCTCTCCTGTTTTGGCTCTTGCCCCAACTGCCTCTCTCGAGATTAGGGTAACAGGAGAGGGAAGAACTTTTCCTATAAAAGCTGGCAGAATCCCCTTAGGGAGAGAGCTCAGTTGTGTTTTACTAAACCCTGGGTGGGCCAGAGCAGAGTCTAGGAGTCTAGATGCCCAGAGCCGTGAGACAAAAAGAAAGCGAAATGACTCTGCATATTCAAGTCGGAAGACTGGAGATTCCTGGTTCAGTCTGGGAGAGGAGGAGAGAGAACAAGGCACAGGGGCTCAGGGCCAGGGCGGCGGGGCAGCCAAAGCGGCCATGCGGGATGGGGGTGGGGGGTCTCCAGCTGCAGGGATGCAAGAGGGAACTGTCATCTGCTTGCTGTGCTGAGCAGTGGTCCCAGCCCCCATGCCATCATCCCCACTCTGTGCCAGGAATTGGGGGAAAGGGTACCCTTCCCACTAGGTCAATGTCGGGGACAAAGAGGACGCAGGAGGGGAGAAACTGAGCAGGATAATTCACAGAAGCAGGAGCTCAGAGCAAGAGGTGGCCAGGGGCACATAAGCCCCCCAGAGATCCTTAAAGATATGTGGGGCTCTGGATAGCCCCTCATAGGAGGGATTAAGCCAATTCTTTGAAAATGTCAACAGGGGCGCCTGGGTGGCTCAGTCATTAAAGCGTCTGCCTTCGGCTCAGGTCATGACCCCGGGGTCCTGGGATCGAGCCCCGCATCGGGCTCCCTGCTCAGCGGGAAGCCTGCTTCTCCCTCTCCCACTCCCCCTGCTTGTGTTCCCTCTCTCGCTGTGTCTCTCTCTGCCAAATAAACAAATAAAATCTTTAAAAAAAAAAAAGAAGAAAGAAAATGTCAACAGAAAGAATGACCCCAGAAGACCCAAGGGCTTAGGGATGCGGCTAAGGAGATACACTGTCCCTCTCAGATGGGTCTGTAAGGACACCTCCATCAGACTGGACCAAGACCACAAGACCCTCCCCAGTCCCCAGGGCTCAGGGCGGCCCCTGCTGTCTGCAGATGACACAGACTGGAAGCTGCCCGCCCAGGGAGCTTCCCGCAGGACACACAGGACACGCTCCCTGCGGCCACTGCCCACCCCCCGACTGTCAGCGGAGCAAGCTCGCCATGGCTTGCCCTGAGCCACCTCACCGCTCCCGGTGTCGGCTAAATTGAAGTGTATTTAATGTGAAGCCCCAGCGACACATCTCAGGACTCACAAGCACTCCCTCCATATTTCCATATAAATAAGGAAAGCCGGGGTGCCAGGAGATAGAGATGGCTCCTCACAGTTAGAGACAGGTGCTTTATTACCCACCCAGGCCCCTCCCCTCCCCTCCCCTCAGCTCTCCTCCCCTCCAGACAGGGACATGCTTGTCTGTCTCTCCAATCTTCCCTTGTCCCCTGCCTTGTCCTCCTTTCTTGTCCCCACCCCAGCCCTTTCTTGCTGGTTCCTAGAAACTGAAGGAGCCCCCACCTCGCCAGATAAAAGAGACCTCCCTGGCCCTTGAGACAGGGGCTGTGACTTAGTGTTTGCCCAGCTGGAGAAATGAGCACATTTGTCCGTCTGCACACAGCTACAACAGAAGCCCTCTGAGGCCACTGGGGCTCAGGGCCTGGGGCAGCAGAGGAGACAAGGACAGGCCCTGGGTCTTGGCCCACCCATCCATCACCAGCCTCTGAGGGGAAGAGATCCCTAGCACCGAGGTCCAAGGCCAGAGCCAGCCACGGAGCAAGGAAATATTTTTCTGATATTCCCCAGGTTCAAATCCAGGCTGGGGGGCTGGAAGGTCTGGCAGGGCCAGGCCCCAGGGTAACCTCAGGGCAGCCACGTGCAGCTGAACCCAGGCCCTCCCGCCTGCAGGCCTCTCCCCAGAGACAGCCTCTGACCTCTACTCGTTCCAGACAAGATAGAGAGCCGGTAACAGCCGGGCACACGGGCTCAGGGAACCTGCAGCAACATCAGGAGAGAGGCCTCACACAACTTCACATCCCACCCCCTGTCCCTAAGAGGGAAGCAAGTTCCTCCTTAGGACAAGAGAGGGGAAGTGGAGCCAGGAGGCAGGGAGGAGGGACTGGGGTCCGGTGAGGGGGCAAGCAAAAACCCCTCCCCATCTGGGAGAGAAAACCCTCCCCCAAGGCCCAAGTCAGGCCCACCTGCCGCAAGAGGGAGTAAGGTTAGACTTCTCCGAGTCATGCTTCCTGTCAGCCTCCTTCCCCCTCCTGAATCTTAAGACAAGTGTGCAGAATATAGAAAGAGATGTCTGTCACATTTTTATCCCCAAATTAGAGAACTTTATCACAAAATATAAACTGGCCTCGGGGGGGGAATCCAGAGCCTCCTCCGGGAGACCACAGTCCACAGAGGCTCTAGTAGGGCCCTCCTCCTTTTAGAGAACACCCTTCTTCTCCCCACCCAGCCTCGTCCTGGGGGGACCCACTTCCCTCACAGGCTTGACAGGCCAGGACACGACAGACTGTTTCCCCCATTTGTGCTCAGATGGTTTTGTTGCCCAATGCAAGGATCTTGTTCTGTTTTGTTTTCCTAAATGGCAGTGCCTTCCTGAGTTTCCTTCTCCTGATTCTGCCCTGGGGCTGCATAGACACGGGGGAACTAAAGCAATGCAACAACCCAACCCCCACCCATGACCTCCAGTCTCCCTCCCCAAGTCCCTTCCACCTGCCCCCCTTCCAGCCCTAGTCCTTCGCTGAGGTGACTCCCAGGCAGAAATGCTGGCCCCTCCTAGGTCTCCTGCAGGGCTGCTCCAGGCACAGTGTGGGGGTGTCTTTGGAGGAGGCCTGTTTTGCAGGATCAAGCTGTTAAACCCACAATGTAAACTTGGGGCTCTTCCAAGTCCCTGCTTTGGGTCTCTCCAAAAAAATCAACTTAATCCAAGAGCGTGAAAGAAACCAGGGGGGACAAAGAGCACTGGGATGTGGACCGAGTCAGGGTCAGTTCTCCGGAAGTCTCAGGCCTCCCTTCCTGTCCGTCTCCCCCTCCCCACCTTCAGTTCCACATTCTAGGCACTTAGCTTCCAGCCCAGGGACCGGGAAATGCGAAAAGGCTTTGGGTGGCTGAACTGGCTCCGAGAATGGATGTCACAACAGACCAGAGACCCGACCACTTCACTCTTCTGCGTACGCAAGATAAATGCCTGTGTGTGTCCACCAGACGACAGGTACCAGAATGTTCCCAGCAGCATAGCCACACAGCCCCAGACTGGAAACACCAAATGTCCACCACCAGTCGAGTGGGTAAACATCACGCGGTGCATTCACACAATGGAATTCACACAACAGCAGTAGAGACAAATGTCTACAACCACACAGCACGACTCGGACGACTCTCACAAATGTAATAACGAGAGGGGAAAAAACGGCACACACAAAAGAAAAGCCACTATGTGATTCCATTCTCATAAAGTCTGAAAAACAGGCAAAGCTCTGTGCTGTGAGAAGTCAGGGTCCTGACATCCCTGGGGAAGTAATGAGTGGGAGGAGCCATGAGGGCACCTCTGGGGGCTGATCACGCTCTGTTTCTTGGTCTAGGTTGCTGGTTGCATGATGCGTTCAGTTTGTGGATATTCTGCAAAACAGCGTAAGCTCCAATGGAAAGCTGGAGCATGTACACACACACACACGCGCGCGTGCGCGCGCACGCCTCTAATCTAACTGCGTGACCCTGGGGAAGTCCTCTCCCCTCCAGGGCTCTGCCCACCCGAGACATAGATCTGGTTGGAGTTGGGACTCCTACCTCCTCTACCAGGCAAAACTGCACAGTGCACGGCTCGGCAGGGCTCGCACAAGCCCCTTGTACTTTGGGGCACTGGCCCCATCCCCTGCCAGGGAGATGAGCAGAAGAACCAGAGCCTAGCCATACACCTCTTCTCCCCCAGCCCCCAATTCCCATCTCTTGGATCCTTGACCTTTCTGGAGGTCCAGCTTCCTCAAGCCCCCTGTAGCAGCCACCCAGGGGGATATGCCCCCTCTCCAGAAGTGGCTTGAGCATCGCTCCTTACACCCCATCTCCTCACACTCCATGTCCCCCATCATCCACCCCCGCACCCGTGACCTCCAGTACCCCTCCCCAAGCTGCCCCTCAAGTGTGCCTTCACAACCGCCCCCCCACCCGCTTTCAGCCTCAATTCACGCCCATCTCCTATGCAGAAATCCCAGCATCTCCTCGGCCCTTTTCCCTAAACAACCTTTTCTGCAGTGTCCCCATCTCAAACTGAACACATCCAATAAATATTGATGGAGCTTGTACTACTTGCCAGATGCTGCTCAAGCCCCTTCATATGTGTTATCTTAACACGACTCATGACAATCCTGGGCACACAGGTATCGTCCCCATTTATCAGAGGAGAAAACTGGAGCTCAGAGAGACTGACGCAACTCTGCGAGTCAGAGGGGGGATACATTAATTTACATTCAGGCTTGAATGACTAATAAATGTGAAATTTCTGCCAGGAGCTTTGCAAGTTTAAATAAGTACATGTTAAACCTAAGGAATGGATCTAATGATGAGATGCCAGATGGCATAACAAGTGCCCTTAGAGCACCCACCCTAGATGACAGCCCATGCTCCTTGAGGGTATATTTGCCATTGGGAACAGGGAAGCCAGCTGGGCCTTGGGGGTTTGAGAAAGTGGACTTCAACCAGAGACATCCCCAGAGTAGCAGGGAGAGCCCACCGAGCCAGCCTGCTGAAGAGTTCCAGAAACCCTATTTGCCCCAGCTACCCCACCACCCTGTGTCCCTCCTTCCCACGGTGACCAGAAGAGCCCCCGTGACCCACTAGGCAGGACTCTGCAATGTTTGCCATTCTTCACTGAGTAGAAAGAGAAGGGAGGAGGGCCCATCTTCAGGAGGTCTCCCAGGTCTGGACCCCATCACACACCCACAACGTGAGCTCATTCAATCCCACCCCTTTCCTTCCCTGTGTGAGTTCAGTGACTTGGCCAATGGCACACGGCTTGTAGATAATGAAACAGGGTACATCTGGTCCCCAAAGCCTGTGCTCTGAACCCCTGTTCCACCGCCTCACAAGGAGCCACAAAGGTCTGAACTGTGTCCCAAGAGCTCAAGGATAAGACACGTGAGCCCATGGCCAGGCCGCCCTCTGCCTCTCCCACCCCCACCCCCTCGGCTGTGGCCATTGCCTGTGTCAAAAGCACAGAGTATGTGAGTCTCAAAGGGACAAGTGTCATTCAGAAACACTCCCCTCCACAAACACACTAAAGAAGCAACTCAAGCAGCTCTTCTGATGCCTGGGAAGCCCTAACTCAAAGGCCCATCCCTGGCCGGAGAGTCTGGGCCAGAAGAAGCCCGATGATCACAGCTGGAACCAAAGCCAAAACAGCGTGTGGGGTCACATAGCCTGAGCCAAGACCCCTCTCCATTCCCACGTCCATAGATGTGGTGGCCTGGATCCATGGGACAGAGCCTCAGGGAGTCCCTTGAGTTGCTAGGTTCAAGGGCCTCCTTCTCCTCAACCCACAAACACCTGCACCCATTTCTGACTCCCCTTTCCCCACCAAGATACCTTCTGTGCGGATGGTGAAGGGGGAGTCCCCCGGGCGCCGGGCAGAGAACTGGCCTCCCAGAGACGTCATCAGGAAGCAGAGTGAGAAGAAGCCGATGCCCAGGACAAAGAGCCTGCAGAGAGCAACAGGGCAGGTCAGAAACAGGTCAGTGGAATGCACCCCTATCCAGCAAAGGCTCTGTACAAATGAGTGGGTGAGGGAGTGAGGATGGAACAGATGGATGGAGGAACAAAAGATTCAGGGCTGAGGGCGCCTGGGTGGCTCAGACGGTTAAGCATCTGCCTTCGGCTCAGGTCGTGATCCCAGGGTCCTGGGATCGAGTCCCGCATCGGGCTCCCTGCTCCTTGGGAGCCTGCTTCTCCCTCTGCTTCTCTCTCTCATGAATAAATAAATAAAATCTTTAAAAAAAAAAGATCCAGGGCTGAGCCTGGAATAAAGAGAGCTTGACTACAAGGAGCTGGCCATGAGGCTCACACAAAACCCCAAGGGCCAAAGATACAGGCATAGCTCGGGCAAGTTCCAGCCTCCAGATAGAGCCTGGCTCATTAGCGCAGGTCCTCAATGTGTGCTCCCCAGACCAGCAGCACCGGCATCACCTTGGGATTGTTAGAAATGCAAAATCTTGGGCTCCAGTCCAAGGCTCACCAAATCAGACACTCTGGGGGTGGTGCAAGCAACGTGTTTTAACAAGCTCTCCAGGCAATCCTGATACATGCTAAAGTTTGAGAACCACTGGTATAAATGGAAACAGCAGGCACTGATGCCAGCCAGAGGGCAAGTAATTGGTCCAGACGAAACCCACCTGGATCCCATCATTCACCTGGGCCCAGCTCAGCGCTGTGCACACAGGTCTTGCCACAGCGCTGGCTTGAACAACTCCTTATCATGTTCGAGGGGGGTGGCGTATGCCCCCACCCCTACCAGAGGGTAAGATCTACAAGGGCAGGGCCCAGAGTCTCCCTAACCCACATCTCTACCAGGCAGACACATAGGAGCCGTCCGCACTGGACTGGGCAGAGTGAGAGGACACCAGTGCATGGGGGGTCATCCGGGGCACGGATCAGGAGAGCTGGGCAAAACAGGACTCTTGTTCATTCCTTCAACACACAGTTGAGTATTTCCCAGGTGCCGGGCACTGGGGTAGCCCCAGGGGGACAGCAGGGAACCCCAGGCTCCTCCTGCTGCCTCACCAGGTGCTGGGTCCCAAACCGGAGAACTGAGCTAACCGACGTGGGGAAGGCCAGAGGTGGCAGTTGTTCTGGGACCTTGAATGTATCAGAGGACTTGCAAACCTGGCGGAGCTGAAAGGGGAGTCTCCCACCCTGGTCAGGATGAGGAACCCCATCTCGTGTGGAGCCAGGCGCGCCACAGGGAGCCCCCACAAATCACGCTAGAGGCCTCCAGCCCTCTCACCTCCACCCGCCACCCTCAGCCCCACATTCATTTGTATCTCCAGGCAAGACCTGCTTTATGCACTTTCATCTTCATTATTTGAGGCTGGCAAAGCAGCATTTAATCAAAACTTGGCCCATTGAAGAAAACACACAATTGCAGAAGAAAATAAAAGCACAACAAAATTCCCACCCCATATTTAAACGAAGCTGTTAGAGATTAAATCAGAGAGGGTGCAGAACCCCCAAAGCAGAGAAAGCATTGAGGGCTTCCCCCGGGAGAGGACAGGGAGGACAGGTGAGACAGCGTAAGAGACACTGCTCCGTCCCAAGGACCCCCTCACTGAATTCCACACGCTTGGGGATGAGGCCCTAGGATCCCAAGATGAAGCCAGAGAAACGGTGGAGGAGGTCGGCGGTTGCACACCCAGGAAGATCCTGAGGGAATCAACTATTCGTCCTCCCAGCCTGAGGACAAGGACGGATTCCTCAAGTTTATTGTCCCTCACTTCCCCAAACCCTCTCCACAGCTATGGGGACTGTATTTAGAGCTAGGGACCTGGGCTGCAGGGTCCAAACATCTGCTATGAAAAAGGGGTCTAAACTTTTAGCCCAGAATCTGGAGTCCCCAACACACTTCATCTGCATCTCTCTCTGCCGGACCTCGATCCTAGGGCCATTTACAGTAGATTCAAGTTAAAATGGTTTCGTCCACCCATGTTATCTATTCAAGCTACATTCCAGGAGCAACTACAGAATAAGGTTCCTGCCAGAGGGAAAACAGGGGGAACAGGGCCCCCAGTCTGCCCTTAAAAACTAACAAGTAGAGGTGACGTGGTGGGAAGCCAGCCCCCCTCCATCTGAAGGGGATACAAAGACTACACTGGTGGCTGTGGGTCTCTGGGCAGCCTAGGGAGACACTAGGTGAAGACACACAACTCGAGGGGAGGGTAACCTATGCAATCCCCCCTCTGAATCCTGCTTTCAGATAAGAGCCCGGAAGAGTCAGGACCCCAGAGGGAAGGAGCTCTGGGGAGCGGGCGCTGTCCGTGGTGCTGGCTCCCGCGGCTGCCTCCAATTGCACCAGAAAATGTCCAGTCAAAGCTGGACACCCAGTTGGCTGGGCCTCCCATGACTTGGAAGGCGGGGTCAACATGGGGTGGCAGACTCGGGAAGAGGACCCTGTAAATGGTCAGCGTCAGCCAGGGATTGGAGGATTTCCCTGGAGGAGTAAGGCCCTTTCCAGAGATGCCCACTTCCTGCCCTGCTTCCCTGGGAACCTTCTGTCAGGGCTCTTTTGGGGCTCCAGCTACCTCCCTGTCTCCTGCCCAAGGCCCTACCCTCAGCACCGCCAGCTCTACGATCCTCCCCTCCCGCATGCTCCAGATGGTGGTGGTCCATCATGACCCCTGCCCTCACGAAAGCTGTCTCCTCAGCTCCACACAACAGGCCCAGCCCACCCAGGAGGTGCTGGGGAGGCCGGAGACACCTGAGCCACGGTCTCCCCGCCAGGGGCTGAGAGGGAGACCAGCGGGGGCCTGGCAGGGGCGGGGGATCAAAACCCGCCCCTCCCGCAGCCCAAACCTCCGGCGCCTCTGCCTGCCCACTTCCTGCCCCAGCAGAGTGGACCGCACCCACACCCACACACACCCCCGTGGCCCCGTGGGGAGTGCAACCCCCCATCCCTCCCTAGGTGCCCTCTGCTGCCCAGTCTCCCTGGGCAAGGTGGCTCTCCCACCCCGCTGGGCACCCATCGCTTAGCATCTCCTCCTTGACCCAGACCGCAGGCCCGCTCCGCAGGCTCCAGGGAGAGGAGAGAGCTGCGCCGGCCCTACCCGGCTCTGGGGCCCCTAGGATGGGTTCAACAGAGACCAGCCAGCCCCGCGTGGCCCCAGCCCTGCCTAGCCTTGGTCGCCCGAGATTGGGGTGGGGGGGATCGATCTTCCCCTCCGTCCTGCCTCCAGAGGTTCCCGGAGGTCCCGGCTCCCGTTGCCCTGGAGCTCCACAGCGCCGCCCCTGCCGCCAACCCTCCATGGCCAGCAATCCAGGGTCGAATTCCCAGCAGAAGGGCTGGGAGTGGTCCTTGCTCCAATCTCGAGGACCTTCCCAATGGAGACAGGCCCACACCCTGCAGCGAGAAGGGGAGTGCGAGCAGAAGGCGGGGGCAAAGGGGTGGCACAGGTGGAGGACTCAACCCAGGGCTCGAGGCGCACGCTAGATGGGGGTGCCGCCCTGCACAGCGCACTAACTTCGCCACCGGGTGGGGCCGTCTGCAAAGTGGGAAGGACCCCAAAGGGCAGGAAAGGGGCGCCCGGGGCGAGGCCCAGGACCACAACCTGGGTACTTTCTGCCCCCATTCCCACCCTCGCATCCCGAGTCCTCTCCAACCCAGACCAACTCGAGACACGTCTCAGATTGCCCGCCCCTCCCCACCCGAACCCGAACCTCGGCTCCATCCCTTTCACAGCCCCACTGGCCACCACGGGGGTTGAAGCACGAACCGCCCCCTCTGCCACTGGGACACGCACCCTCTCGGGAACGACCTCGCCCACCCCTACCCGGCGCCCCCTCGGAGAAAAAGACCTCCCCGCGCCAACCGAGAGAGAACTTTACCGAAACGGTCTCAGGGTGACCAGGCATCTTCTGACCATTATCTTCCCATCGGGGTTGACTGTGATCATTGTTCAAACTTGTCTGGGCGAGGAGCCGCGGGCGAGGCCAGACGCACCGTCCCGGGCCCTGCTCCCGCCGCGTCCCGGCAGCGAACCCGCTGCGGGCCAAAGCTGGGTCCGAGCGAGGCGGCGGGCGCGGGGACTCGGCGGCTTCGCTGCTCCGGCCGCAGCCGGCGGGGTTGGCGCGGCCTCCGCGGGCGGGCAAGGGGAGCGGCGCGGCTGCCGGAGGGCGGCGAGGGCGCCCAGCCGGGCCGTCTCTGCGTCTCCGCCCTCCCCGCTTCACATTTTTGGGGCCGGGAGGCGGCGCGCCCCCCGACCGCCGGCCGTGCGTCTGCCTGCTCGGGCTCGCTCGCTGGGCGAGACGGCGCCGCGGCGCGCAGACGGGCTCCCCGCCGCGGGCGCCCTCATCCCCGGGCCCGCGCCCTCGGTGCCGACTAGAGGCGGCCCCGGGCCCGCGCCCCGGCCCCCCGCGCCTCCGGGCCGCGCCGCGCCCCGGCCCGGCACCGCGCCGCGCCCATGGCTCTCGGCGAGGGCGCCCCGCGCCCGCTCTGCCGCCCGCTCTCGGCAGTCGGGTGTCGGGTGTCGGGCGTCCGGCGTCCGGCCCCGCGCCGCGCTACGCGGGGAGGCGCCGCATTGTTTCCTCGGAGGAGGCGGCCGAGCGGCTGCTGGCGCGACCCAGAAGCGGCCTCCGCGCTTCCTCGGCGCGCCGGCGCCACCTCGTGGCTGCGGCTCGGCAGCGCGTCCTCCCGGCCCGGGTTGGGGGGCTGGTCCCCGAGCCTCCCTCCAGCTGTGTAACGTCCCCAGCCCCGCTTTCGGCTCCTGCGGAGCACAGAAAAGGTCGGCGCTGGGCGAAGACCCCCCCCCCTCCTCTGGTCGCTGCCTCTGACCCCCGCCTCGTGGGCTTCTGCCCTGGTTCCTTCACACCAGCTCTGATGTCGCTCTGCAGCCCTCACCCATCCTCTGGCCCTGTCTGGAAGAAACTGCCGTGGCTCCCCTTTACTTGCTGAGCTGAGTTCAAACTCCGCCTCTTGCGCTGTTCGGGCTCTTCCACTGAGCCCAGCAACCAGACCGCGCTGTGTAGACCGGGGGTCTAGTCTCAGATCCTCCATTAACCAGTGGCTGACGCCTACAAGTCAGGGAGACTCCAGAGCCTCGGTTTCTCCACTGTGAAACGAGAGTGACCTGAAGTTGGCTAAGGCTCTTTCCAACTCTATAAAGCATTTACGTGCCCTCCACCCCAACCTCCTCCACTTCTTGACTTTGGAGATGCGTCTTCCGCTGCAGCGGTGGGTCAGCGGCTTCTCCCAGTGCATCAAGCCAGGGCAGCTACCAGAGCCAGGCCCGCATTTGAGAAAGCACTCAGGCAGAAACAGCACCTGCCCGACCAGACCTTGACCAAGCACAGACATGGAGGCACCTTGCTAGGAAGAGCCCAGGCCTCAGGCCACGTGTAAAAGGACACAGATGACCCTGAGAGTCCTTCCATCCCCGGCAATGATTCTGCAGCCTGGCTCTGAAGAGGAGAAAACCTTTCTTCTCAACCACCCGGCCCTGGTCCCATCCCACTGGGGCCCTCACCCCCACCCCCGCTGCTAGCCCCCCTCCCGGCCCCATCTGAGCCATTTCTCACCAGCGATGACCCATGCTCCTGCTTTTCCTGCTCCTTTTTCATCAAAATTCACCTGTCCCGTGTTCCATCACCTCGCCTTGCTCTCTGCTAACATGAAAACAGACGATGAATTGGTGTTGGCAGATTAATGTTACTCCAGCTGGGTAACAAATCTGCATTGAACAAGGACATGCCGACCATGCCTCGGTGCAGAGGAGTGGCAAATGGTGGCGGGAGACAGGCATCATGGCAGGCTGGCCCAGGAGCTATCTGAGGGCAGGGGTCTCTGCCCAGCCCACACCGGCCACACACCCAGGCACTAATTTAAACCCTGATGTCAAGGTGAATGCCATATCTACACTCAGGAATGAAATGGCCCTTGCTATTGTGTGTCTCTCCTTTACAGTGAGCTCGGGGGGGCGGGGGGGGGGGAATTAATGCTTCTGGCACTTTAGGCCAGAGGTGGAGAAGAGGCACAGGCATGTCTGGTTGGGCTCAGAAGGCGGGAGTGGGTCTTCTCCATCCCCTCTGGGCCTTGCTCTCTAGCACGTGGGCTTTGAGGTAGGCAGGAAAAGGTGCCCGCTGCCATTTGCCAGCAGGCTGTGGCCAGGCAGGGAGGTGTGGGGTAGACAGTAGAAGATAATTCTGTGAGCCAGACCAGCCAGCCACCTCCTTTCAGACCGTTCCTGTCTTGTCGGCCTCTCGTCTACGGTAAAGACCAGGGTAAATGGTCCTGTGTGCTGTCTGCTGTAGATATTAGGAGGAAGTTTGTGAATCCTTAGTCATGCAACCTAGGGTACGCTCTCTTCGTGCCTCAGTTTCCTTGGCCGTCAGTCGGGCTCTTTAGAGCCTGCCTCCCAGGGGGACATGAAAATGCACTGGCTGGTGCATGTCAGCAGCCCGCTGCCTGGCGCCTGTGAGTCCTCGCATTCGGCAGTTATGATTTTTCCTGCTACCATCTCCCTGCGTGGACGCTGTCGGTGCCCACCCTTTCCATGGGCATGCACCTCTGCAGGCCAAAAGGCAGATTACCGAAGATACATGCAACACTGCCTGAGGCTTTACTTCTGGCTGTGGGAATATGCTCAAACATGCAAGAGCAAGACAGAAGTGTCAGGGCCCTAATGCCCTGGAAGCAGCCCTCACGGAATGGGCAGATACCCATTTCCCTCTCCCTCGGGTGGGATGCTCCCGCACGTTCCACATCAGCTCCCAGAGTTCCGCAGTGAGACGTTGCTCCAGCGGCCCATGGTGGTGGCCAGCTCTGCAGCACACCCCGTGCTGGCTTTCTTCCCCTCCTTGCCTCATCCCCTACTCTTCTGTCCACGCTCCCAGGGTCACCTCCAAAATAAACTACAGGCACTTGCATCCTTGTCTGGGAACCTACTTCCGGGGAACCCAAGCCAACACCCTGCCCTCCAGGCCAGAGGTTCTCAGCCCAGACTCAGCGGAATCCCCTGCAGAACCTAACAGAACAGAATCTCCCTACCTTGATTCCATCCCAAAGATGGGGCCTGGGTACATTTGTTTTCTTAATGCCATGGGTTATGCCAACATAACTGGCCAGGATGGGGAACCACGGTTCTAGAGAAATAGCCACGGCCTTCTGAGAAGGAACCAGAGCCACCCGAAGCAAACTAGAAGAGATTAGAGAAGCAGGAATTGGGGCGCACAGGTCGTACCAGATCCCAAAAACAACCCCCTTTCACTCTTTCTCTCTTGAGGATACAAACAGAACCACAGGCTAGCCCATCGTGGGCATCAGGGCGTAGACTGCATCAGCCTGGGCACTTGGAATATAGCGCTTCCTGGTCTCCCCTGCAGCCCTCCACGTGGGCCTGAGGCCTGGCTGGAGGCTCAGAAGCCCAGAGCAGCAGGAGGCCCTGCGGGGCTGTAGGGCCTCTGTCCAGAAACGGGGAGCAGGACTCTGGGGAAGGGATTTGGGGGAAGTGGGTGATTCATACTGTGCAGAAGTATCATACTCAAGATCCCTAGGGGTCGGCCACAAAGAAGGGAAGGAGCTCTAGTCGTCCCCTAGGCCCACGATAACAAACTAGCATGTCGGAGGGGCTTAAAATAAGAGGAATCCATTCTCTCAAGGTTCTGGCGGCCAGAAGTCCTAAATCAAGGGTTGGGCAAAGTCGGTTCCTTGTGAAGGTCCTGAGGGAGAGTCTGGCCCATGCCTCTCTGCTGGCGTCCAGTGGGGGCCAGAGATCCTTGGCATTCCTTGGTTGGCAGCTGCATTCCCCAATCTCTCCTCCATCATCACAAGGCCTTCTCTCCATGTGTGTCTCTCCGTGTCCTCTCCTCTTCTTAGAAGGACACCAGTCTTTGGATTAGGACCCACCTTACTCCAGTATGACCTCATCTTAACGAATTACGTTCTGCACAGATCCTCTTTCCAAACAAGATTATGTTCTGAGGTTCCAGGTGAACCTGAATTTGGGGGGGCACACTGTTTGGCCTACTACAGGGACCTAGTGGGAAGCGGCCACAGTGGTTAGGCAGTGCTAAGGACCAGAGCTCCCCAAAGGGGATATGCACTGTTGCTTTGTGTGGGCCCCGTTATTTCAAGAGTCAGAAATCTGGACTTCCCACGTGCAATCGCATAATTGTAAAATGTGGACTCGATATTTTTAGAACATTATGCAAGACCAGTAAAATTCACCGGAGGTCTGCCATCTGGGTCCCCTGGGGTGTCAGCAGAGGGCAAAGCAGGGAGCCCACCAGCCCTGCCCAGCCAGCCAGCCCAGCTTCTCTGGGGCCAGCCCCCACTGCAATGTCCCTCGCTGCCCCTGGAGGAAGGTCAACACTCCTGGGTGCACTCAAGGGTTCCCCGCAGGCCCCCTGCCCCTTCGCTGGCCCCCTGGAAGCCTCTTGGGCATCAGAGCCTTGACTGCCACCCCCACCTTCTCAAAGTTCCAAGGCTGCTTCTGAAGCTCCCAGACAGGGCCTGGGCTGGAAGAGGAAAGAAGGAAACAAACAGTTTACTACGGTGTTTGAAATCCTCACTTAATGTGCCTCAACTGCAGCCGCAGACAGCACATTAAGAGGCAACAGGCCATTGTCCTTCGCTAGAGTGCGGAGCATTAATAATGTCATAACAGCATTTCCTGACACTGTGCACAAATCATCAACAGCCTCACCGGGTGAGCAGTCCCACACAGACGCCAGCCGCCTGGAGCCATGCAAGGAGGCTGAGGAGTGGGGAGAGCTCTTTCTCCAATGCATATTTCATGCTTTCTGTTTCACAACATTTAGGCTAATCCTCTGATTGAAAAGCAGCGTCTGGGGTTTATTTTTATTTATGCCAGAAGACCATTCTGCCACACAGCTTGTGGGAGCTGGAAGCAGAGCTATAGGACTTTCCCTGTTCTGCAGGGAAGTTAGCTGCTACATCTGTGTCTGCATCTGCGCTTTTGCGCGTGTGTGTGTGTGTGTGTGCGCGCGTGCGCGTGCCCATGGGGGCTGGCAGGCAGAGAAGCCAGGGATAGATGAGACAGGGGACCCTCCCACGAGGGCCCCATCCCAGCACTGGAGACACAGGTGAGCCCTTCACTGAACGTAATCATGAGATCTCATTTACTGAACACCTACTATGTGCCAGGAAATGACTCGGGGATTTTGAGTGTGTTACCATGTTCACATCACTATTTTACTTAAATCTGTTTCACAGGGCAACTTGAAAAAACAATGACCCCCTTTCTTTCTGGACAGTTCCTCCTGCACCACAGATCAGTGGAGCAGCCATGCGGGGTCAGCAGGATCATGGTCTTCCAAAGATGGTCACATCCTGATCC